AGGTCAGGACGAGAAAGAGGTTACATGCAGATTATTGCATGATCAAACATCCCTATTTGGGGAGTGGGACTTTCAGAAGGAACCTTTGAGGGCCTCTATATGCCATACGTCAGGCATAGGAACTGTCCCGAGTTCATTAACAGAAACAGCAATACATGAGTAAGATGTGTAATAAATGAATTAAGTAAGGCATTCTTTCTGTTTTTATCTACTGACTAATCAGGAGTAGGTAATTTTGCTTCTGAATTCATTAATTTTGGAGCCAAAGAAGATCTTGGTCTATCTAATCCACCTGCTCCATTTTATAGACAGGAATCTGAGGCAGGTCCACGTTAAGACTGTAGTAGCCTCTAGGCATTTTTGCTTTTGGAGGGCCTATTTATTTATTTATTTATTTATTTATGTATTTGAGACAGAGTCTCGCTTTGTTGCCCAGGCTAGAGTGAGTGCCATGGCGTCAGCCTAGCTCAGAGCAACCTCAAAACTCCTGGGCTCAAGCAATCCTCCTACCTCAGCCTCCCGAGTAGCTGGGACTAAAGGCATGCGCCACCACGCCCAGCTAATTTTTTCTATATCTATTAGTTGGCCAATTAATTTCTTTCTATTTAAAATAGAGGGGGGGGGTCTTGCTCTTGCTCAGGCTGGTCTCGAACTCCTGACTTCGAGCTATCCACCCGCCCACCTCGGACTTGGAGGGCCTCTTTCTTCATAAACACCCAGAGAGGTTGAGGGTTTTTAAGACCACTAAGCTAGTTACAGCAGAGCTCAGACAAGAGCAACTGGGTCTAGACCTCTTTCTGCACCTGTGCCCCCATGAAGACTGAAGAAGGCCCTGTTCAAGAGGTGGGAGGAAGGCTTGGGGATAAGGGCATGTGTGGAGGTAATACTTTTCATCCAAGATGCTGCAGATTTGGAAGGTAAGGATTGGTGAGGGAACTTCATTAAAGAGCTGGGGGCTGGGGATGTCTTAATAGTTGACTGTTCCATACATACCATCGTTCTGCAACTGTATCTACTATGTGCTTGGTGTCCCTACCTTTACCAAGATTACAGTCAAGCAGGAGAGTCCAGCGTACAAGCAATGGCAACAGGCTGTGACAAGTGTTATGACAGAGGAAATGAGGTTCCTTAGGAGTACATAGCAGACATACCTAACCCGCATGGGGGAAATGAGGTTCCACGTGAACCCAGACTAGGAATGACCCGGGCACAGAGGATGCGGAAAGTGAGAGCAGTGCTCCACGCAGAGCGATTACATGTGGGAAGACCCAAAATATGGGAAGTCTGACCTCAGGGGAGACGGAAGACTTGAGATCTGACTTGAGCCTTGGCCAAAAATCCTTAGTATGTGGGAAGTCAGGTATCGGTGAGAAAGGAGGGGTTAAAATCTCTCCCCACCTGCTTCCAGGAGTTTTAGAATCGGATACTAAGGAGCAGACGGGGTTTGGAGGGTAACGTTAAGAAACCGAGGGAAGCAAGCGTTCCTCCCCATTTTTCTAAACCACCGAGTCAGTCAGTGGTAGTAGTTGGTCCACGCACAGCAGACGAGGGTGCTGGTTTCAACGCTGAATTTTTCACCCACTCTTTTTTTTATGTTTTTTTTTTTTTAATTTCAGCATATTATGGGGGTACAAATGCTAAGGTTACGTATACTGCCCATGTCCCCCCTCTTTTTTATTTCAGCATATTATGGGGGTATAAATTTTAAGGTTTTAAATAATGCCTTTTCCCCCCTGCCCCCACAAGTCTGAGTTTCCAGCGTGACCATCCCCCAGATGGTGCACATCTCACTCATTATGTACGTATATACCCGCCTCCTCCCCCCTCCCCCCTGCCCTATACCCTATTACTGTAGTACCTATGTGTCCACTTAGGTGCTACTCAGTTAATACCAGTTTGCTGGAGAATATATGTGATGCTTGTTTTTCCATTCTTGGGATACTTCACTTAGCAGTATGGGTTCCAGCTCTAACCAGGAAAATATAAGATGTGCTATATCACCGTTGTTTCTTAGAGCTGAGTAGTACTCCATGGTATACATATACCACATTTTATTAATCCATTCTTGGATTGATGGGCACTTGGGCTGTTTCCACAGCCTTGCAATTATGAATTGTGCTGCTATAAACATGCGAGTGCAGGTGTCTTTTTTGTAGAGTGTCATTGGATCTTTTACCCCGCCCCCCGCCCCCACTCTTGATATTTCGAATTTCACTTTCCCCTGCTCAGAAGCTGCAAGTCTTGAGGGGGAACTTCCTCCCATCCCTTATGAGAGATCTTGGGGCTCCCAGGCCCCGCCAATGCCTGGGAGGTCAAGAGTTCACGCCACCTGGGCTACTTTGATGTCGCCCAGCTCCACTGGAACGCTGTGCAGCCCTGGAAGGGCAGGGCACTCGCAGGCTGCGGGCGGCCCTTCTCCAGCCGCCACAGGTAAGGGAGGGAGGGCGGGGCGGGTCCCAGAGCGGCGGGCGCGCCCGGCCTGCGGGCGGCTGCGGCCAGAGACAGCCGGGCCCGGGCCGGGGAGGGGCCGGGGCGGGGCCCCAGCTGACCCCGACGGCGGCGCGGCCACCCCGCGGTCCCGTCCCGCGCCAGGCCGCCCGCCGGGCCCCTGCTGCTCCGCCGCGCGCCGCTCAGGTAAGGCGGGCGCCCGCAGGGCTGGGCTCGGCCTCCCGGGCCCCACGCGGCGGGTGTGTGGCCGTGCCCGGCGAGGGCCGCCGCTGGGCTCCCGCCCTCAGAGCCGGGCGCCTTGGAGGGGCCCCGGCCTGGGGGGCGTTTGTGGTGGGGGGCGGGGAAGGAGGGTGGGCGAGCGAAGCAATCGCTGCAACTTCTTCCTTTCGCTCCAAGTTCTTGCGCTTGGAAAAACTCCTTCTTGTCTTTTCCAGACGTCGCAGCAGCGGTCGTGACCACAGCCGCTCGTCTGTCGCATTGGTGTTCGGGGTGGCGGTGGGAGGGGCGCAGCGTTCCTACCTGTGGTCCTGGGAGGGGTCTGTTCCCGGAGGGGTCCTGGGAGGGGTCTGTTCCCTCGAGAGGACCTGCCTTTCACTAGGAAGAGAGGTTCTTGGGACTCGGGTATCCGACTTCTCATGGAGCAGAGTCGGCTGAATTAATTTTAATTAATTCACTGAGGTCAGTGACTGGGAAGACGACAAGGTGGGAGTACTTTGGCCCAGGAGCGACAGCTTGGGGCAGCTGGGGGCGGGGCATCTGGCGCCAACTCGCCGTGCGGCGCACCTGCGGCTGAGTGCGCAGCGGTGACCGCGGGCACTGGATTTTTGTCACTTGTAAAGTTGAGTGAGGGACCGGGAAATAAAAGGGGGGGATGTCTACGTCGATAAAAATCTGGAAAGAGTGACCTACTGGTAATAGACTCCCTTTGGGGTCAGGTGCTTTCTTGTCCCACCCTCCTCATTAATTATAGCGTTTTTGTATAATATATTTCAACACAGTTAACGTTCTGTTAAACAGAACATCCCTGGTTGTACGTTAACTTTTTTCTAGCAACTCCTTGCAGTTTTATACGAAGTGAGTTCAAGGTCAACTATGGGAGACTAGGTCACCTGTTTGGAATATTTTTACCTGAAGAAAGTGTTTAGAAACTTTTGTTTGTTCCTTTCATTTCTCCAACCCCCCCCCCCCTTGCCTGAACTCACACAGAGTGCTTTTCACTTTTTCCCTCCTTAAAATTCTCACCACTTAAAAGGCCAGGGGAAAAGAAGGCACCCACTTTTGTCTTGCAAGTACTCGTGGTTAACTTGGTCTTGTGGCTTTTCTGTAAACACCTCTTGCTCCTTCCTTTGCCTTCTTTTAGTTCCTTCAATATTAAAATGTGCCAATAGTGTTTTCTGTAAAGAATGCACAGGGCTGTAGGAGAAAGGAAAACTGCCCTTGAAATGGTGTAGTAAAAATTATTATTTTTTCAAAACCACAAAACTTAAAACTCTGTGTGGAGTTCTAATACTTGCACCTCTTTGGGGAAAGATGTTTTACAATTATAATTATTTTATCAAGAAAATATCAACGGTTAAGCTTCTCTCTGTGTGTGAAATCTTCCATTAACAGTCTCTACCCAATGGCTTTAGAAATCTGAGGTTCGAGTTTATAGAGGCCTACTGGAATAAAAGAGTGGATTTAAGTTATGAACTAACTTCAAGGAACCTTGAAAATAATGGTATCATGAATATTTCAAAATTGTTGCATTCAGATATCTTTGTTGCTTGACAATTCACTTATTCTTTCTGTTATTTAATGATAATGTTGCTCACAATATAGGGCTTCTCTTAATTCTCTCAGTGTATCCTACAGGGTATCTCTGTAGAGCCCTGTTCTGTATGTATGGTTATTTTTTCCCAGTTATTAAAATTTTTGGATTCAGTTCTTCTCTAAGCTGAATTAGAAACTGGGAAATGTGGTAGAGACATGGACTAATAGTATCTATCTGTGTGTTCTAGCACCAGATCAGCTTTGAAGTCCTGGTAAGTCCCCTAATTAGCTTTGGGTCCCAGCAAGTTCCTTAACTTATGTGTGTCATTTTTATCTTCAAACTAAAGGAATTATCTTTGGTTCCAAAGGACATTTGGGTCCCTTTGAACTCTTCTAAAAAAGGTAAATCCTCATTTTTAGAATTAGATATCATTGCTCCAAGAAGAGTACTGACTTTAGAGTTTGCTCACATTTCCAGAGGGCGTCCTAACATGCTGGACACTACCTCTGTTCCACCTAAGCAGTGTAATGCAGGGATTAAGAATGTGAGCTTTGGAGACTTGATGGGCCAGTCTGTTTTCTAACTCTGACCTTAGGCAAGTTACTTACGTTTCCCAAACCTCATTTTCCTCATGTTTAGAATAGTGATAATAATAACACTTAGGGACATTATGAGGGTGAAATGAAGCAATGCATATAATGTAAGCAGCACAGTGTCTACAGCTTCATATTTGATATTAAATAAATAGTTAATAAATGGTAGCAATTGTTTTCTTCAATGCTGACTTCCCTGTTCTTTTTCTTTTAACAAGTTGAAATTTAACTTGGATAAATGTAAATCCCCACATTTATAACAACTATATTTAAATATATAGTTGTTTAAAACAATAAGCAAGTACAGAATGGGGGAAGTGTAATTTATTGAACCAAGTAACCTTAGTGTTAATTGACATTATGTTGCCTGTGAGTTAGCTGTGAGTTGTTAGGGTCCAGAAAGCTGGTGTGATTTTAGGTCGCTTTAGTAGAAATTATAATAGAGTGCATGCTTATAGGACATTTTTCTCCATTTGCCTTTTGCTCTTTATGCAGACGTCAGAGTTACACTCTAAGATGAACAGTCAGAAACTAACTTGTCTGGGGAAGAAGGAGGAGAAAAGAGAGGTGATGATGCTTGAAGCCATATCATACTCATGGATAATTATACATTAATTCTTTGCTGCTCTCATGTCTTTTGACTTCTTATCAGATGTCAAAATCCCTGCCAGCAGAATGCAAAGGAAAGAAAGGACAGGTTGCTGCCCATGCCCTCTAGGCATTCATAGCATAGTTCAGGTAACAGAAATAATTCAAGCAGAGTCATAAGTTCTCCTATAAAGGTAGAAAAGAGAAGGCTGGGAGTTGAGGAATGCTCAGTTGAATAACCCACCAGGGGAGGCTCAAAGCAGTGACACTTTGGTTCTACATTTGAAGGTTTTAGTTTTGTGGGAGTTTGCAAATGGAAATGCTGAGAAAAAACATCCCAGAAGCTCGTGTGAAGGTATTCGAGGGGGAGAGAACATGGCAACAGCAAATCATAGCAAGCTGTCCCCATGCGTCCCATCCTTGACTGCCTATGGGACCTGGGACGGTAGCAAATTATTTTATCTCTGAGCTGTAGTTTCCTCAAACGTAAAATGAGGGTCTTCTTATTATTTTGGGTTATTAGGTACTGATTTAATCTTGAAGTCTAGCCTATGAGGGTGTCTACCTCACACCACTGTTGGAAATCTTAGTTGTACATAAAACACTAACCTATCTGGTACACAGCAGGCACTCAACCAGTGTGCTGCCCTCCACCCCTCTTCCTTTAGTTTTTTTAGATATAGGGGTCTCCCTATGGTGCCCAGACTGGACTCGAACTCTTGGACTCAAGTGATCCTCCAGCTTCAGCCGTCTGAGTAGCAGAGACTACCCCTGGCTTGTGCCTCCTCTTGATCAAAGACTGGAGAACACTACTCTAATCCAGCCTTGAGTGTAGGTAGGATTTAGGCCTTTTGTGCATAAAAACAGGCTAAGAAATGTTTTAACTGATCTTGCTTTTTAGAATGAAATATGAGATTATATACTTCTACCACCACTATCTTATTCCCCAACCACTGCAAACTTTCCTTCCACTGAGGCTGTGTTATTAGCTTACTACTTAGGCTGGGTTGTTGTTTTGGAGCCACGCTCTGTGCAAAGAGCTCCTCCTATTTTGAATATTATCCTGCCCAAAAAGGTTTGCATTCCTATATTGGTGTGATAGGATCTCCGGCTGTTTTAAGGCTCTGCTTCATGCTCCCGTCATTGCTTCAGTATGAACTGTGGAAGTGAGTCTTAGAAAAAAAATTTGGTGTAAAGGGGGTAGTGAAAATTGGTTCATTATTTTGGAGCACCAAAATGTAAACTGAACATTTTGGAAGGAATTTGTTATAGACTTTTACCCTCTTGTGATTTTTCTTTGTTACTGTTAACTTTTAAAATCCTTTTAAGTTTGGAAGAATTTTCTTTGAAATTCCAACTTGGTCATGCATGTTGCAAAATGACATTGCAAGAGTCATTCCTCTTGCAAACATTGCACAAATTTGCTGAACAATTGACCCCCTAGAGTTTTCCCCTTTGGGCCCTTTTCCCCCACATAGATTTCAAAGAAAAGACCTTAAGCAGTTTTATTGCAATGTTTCCAATGCATGGAAAAATTCTACATGCCACGTAGGCTACTGCAGTCAGTAAAAATAATTTATTTACTTTAGGTTTTGATCATGTCGAGAAAAATTGTGGGTTAGAGGACGAGGCCAGGTCTGTTGGCTGTGGAAGCCCTGGATCAGGCCAGGTATTGGCATTCTCCCTAGGCCATGAAGACCTGGTCTGAGTAAGAACTTTTTGAGGGAATTGTTCTTCTTGGTCATTCATTTATTCATGCAGTGAATTTTTCTGTAATGTCATTAATTTGAGTATTTTATTAATTGTGTTACACAAGGGGGATATTGAGACTGACTCAAGTTCCTTAGCCTCAACTATAAGGAAGAATGTCATTGGAGAGCTAGTTTATGTTAAAAGAGCTAGTTTATGTTAAAATTTCTGGACCTTAACTCTTAGAAGTTCTAATTCATTACATTCAGTGTGTTCCCCAGCAATCTGCATTTTAATAAGCCTTGCAGTTGATTTTGATATTGATGGCAATTTTTTTTTGTTTTTTTATTAATAATTTTTTTCCAGCATTGGTATACAGATTTACATATACTTTTTGGAAAACAATATAATGTTTCTGTCTTGGCCTTATTATTATTGATTAGATGTCTAAACAAATCCAAACTCTAGTTCCCTCCCTGCTTTTTAACCAAGGCAATTTATCTGTTTGTTTGTTTTTTTTTTAATTTGTAAAGTAGGGACTTTGACTAAATTTCTATAAATTTCCTTGCTCTCCCTTAATTTGATGTTTTTCTCTATTAGACTTAAATCCAAATTAGTCCAAAAGACTGTTCTTTGAACACTTATAGTTTAAGGTCCTTCTTAGCAGAAATGGACTATTGAGTAAGATCTATCCAAAATCCCGTGAAATCCTTAGGCTCCTTAATACTCCTTAATACTCGTATTAATACTCCGACTTTCTTTGTTACCACCTTCTTATTTTAAGAAGTATGATGAATAGATGATTTCAGGAGTAGGAAGGTGAGAAGGTGTGGTTTATTGAGACCACCTGTTTTTGTCAGAGACTGAGCTACCTTTTTGTTGTTTTTAAATGGTGGGTATAAATTACCAGCTGAATATTTCAGTGATTGGATTTCCTCTGAGAAGCCCTTCTTGCTCTCCTCCTGGCAGGGTTAAGTATGGCCTCCTCTGAGCTCTCCCTCTCCCCTGTGGGAACCAGGCTTCCTTCCTCCTCTTGTGGTAATGGAGGGTCCATGGTCTATCAGCATCATAGGATGGGAGCTGGGGCCTTCCTCTCAGTTTCAAGAGAATAGGGTCAGGGACACAGTATGTGCTTCATAAATATTTGTTAAGTGGATTAACTGCTTTCGAACAATATAACGTATTCAATTGCAATTATTATTTAAACGTTGGAAATAAAAAGAATTTTTGATAGCATCATAATTTTTTTTAAGTTAAGGAAAACAATGGCTGTGGTTTCTAATAGCCCATCACGCCACATAGGCACACAGATAATTATTTTTCTTCTTGAGGCGCTGGGAAGTGAGCATTTGAAGCATCTTCTTTCTATGGATTTTGATTTCCTATTGAACAAAAAGTAGCAACAGGAAGAGCTTCATTTTTTTTTTTTCCTTTTTTTTCAGTGAGATTACAGAGATAAAACAAGTTAGAGCAACTCTCTTGAATAGCTAATGGTTGTTGCCTGGAGAAGGAGAAAATTATTTTCTGCCCTTCATGTTGATGTGTATAGAACATGTGTTCTGACTAGCTGCTCTTTTCACTGCCTCTTTTTCCAGCTGAGGTGCAACATAAACTATTTTAATTAATATTGTGTCACCAAAAGGGATTGAAATAGCCAATTGAATTCTGCCAAGATAGAGTCTTTTGATGAAAACATATCTTTATTGATTGTGGACGAAGAAAATCATTCTTAAAATGAAATCCAGAGAAAAATCATATCCCTCGGAGAAAATTTCTGAGTGGCAGGCTGAGATTAACATCATAAAATTGAATTTGTGCTGCAAGCCTTTGATGTAATCAGCAGCTGGGAGATGGTGTTGCCCTTGCTGTGCTCTCTCTGATTGTGGTGAATTATTGCGTGGAATGAAATAAGTGTTTCTTGTGTCCCTCCTCCAAGAAATACAAACAAGGTATTACTAGGTAGTTTCTTGCTAGTTAAAATGGGTTGGATCGATTCCAGGCCTCTCAGGCTCTTATACACCCAGGAACTGTAGGACTTGGGCATTTATTTATGCCCCAGGGACAGAATTTCTTTATATCCCGGGACAGTGACTTCTTTGGACAGTAGAAATGCATCAAAGCAAAGACAGGTGGGATCCCCCTTGCCAGAGACTTTTTTTTAGAAGAAGGAGAAGCCAGGATGTGTTAGAAAGTACCCTATATTGCGTGGTTTTTGTTGGCTTGTAGGTCCAGTTAAGCCTGTGTGACTCCCCTTTCCTGTCTCCCTCAGCTACTTCTTATGACATAAACTATGCTGATTCACCTCAGGGTGGAAGTCTCATTTCGTGTATTATGAGCCATGACCCCAGGGTTACAGTGGGCTTTTCACTGTTTTTGCTTTAAGTCCTGATTTTTTGATGACACTCTTGCCCGTGCATGTACTTCCACACGTGTAATGAATAGGATTTTTGGAACGAGTAAAGAAAAAATCCACTTACATATTCACTCTCAGACTAAAGAGTGATTTGGTACCTTAACCACCACTGTGGTTGAACCTAAGTTGTGTTTGTTTTGTTTCGTTTTCTTTAAAGAAATTAGTGGACTGGCTTGTCTGGAGGTGACTGTAAACAGGGGATGGTGTCATTATTATGTGCTCTCACTCTCAAGCCCTTTGAAAAGTGGGATGGACCTTGAGGTCAGACAGATCTCAGGCATGTGTTTGTCTCCAAAGTTCCCTGTTTTATATGGACAGCAGCCATATTGGATTAGGGGCCCACCCTAATCCACTATGACCTCATCTTTACTTAGTGAATTATACCTGTAAGGAACCTATTTCCAAGTTAGGTCACATTCTGATGTACTCGGGGTTAGGATTTCAACCTATGAATTTTGAGGTGGGCTCAATTCAACCCTTAACAGATGGGAAGGTGGTAGATTTTTTTAAAGTAAATTAAAAAAAAATTCAAATGATTTTATTTTGCCAATTTGGTATCTTTAAAGTCTTTATCTCTGTTGTTTAAAATTCACTTAATAGATGGGGCCTACTCATCTATTAAATTATGAATGATAAAATGAAGGATTATGAATGATAAGAGTTCCACTTATCTTAATGCTGTTTACTTAGCAGGATTTATATATAGATTTTGAGATTCAAAAATACTTTCCAATAATAGCATCTAACACTTATTGAATGTTTACTATTGAATGGTTTCCATGGATTATCTAATTTAACTCTCACATCAACCCTATTTGATTTTATATTATTATTCATTCTCATTTTATTGATGAGGAATCCAACACAGAGTAGAGTGATTTTCCAAAGGGCATCCAATGGCAAGGTCTGAATCCAGGCTGACTGACTTGAGGGCCCATCTTAATGGGTGTGTGCTGTCAATTCATTACAGCTGGGTATGGTAGATATTACTCCCATTTCATGGATGAAGAATATAGAATTTAAAGTGACAAGAAATTGGGTCACAAAACCAGCAAGTGTGTAAGATTTGTGATTTGAACTTAGATGTGACAGGCATACCTCAGAGATATTGCAGGTTCCATTCCAGACTATCATGATAAAGTAAATATCACAATAAAGTGAGTCACACAATTTTGTTGGCCTCCCAGTGCATATAAAAGTTATGTTTATGCTATACTGTGGTCTGTTAAGTGTGCAATAGCTTTGTGTCTACTAAAAAATATACATACCTTAATTAAAAAATACTTTATTGCTAAAAAATGCTAACGATCATCTGAGCCTTCAGCAAATCGTAATCATTTTGTTACTGGAGGGTTTTGCCTCCACGTTGATGGCTACTGACTGATCAACATGGTGGTTGCTGAAAGTTGGGGTGGCTGTGGCCACTTTTTAAAATAAGACAGTGATGTTTGCTGCATCAGTTAACTCTGCCTTTCACGAAAGATTGCTCTATAGCACATGATACTGTTTGATAGCATTTTACCCAAGGTAGAATTTCTTTCAAAATTGGAGTCAATCCTCTCAAACTCTGCTGCTGCTTCAGCAGCTAAGTTTATGTAATATTCCAAATTCTTTGTTGTCATTTCAACAGTGTTCACAGCATCTTCACCAGGAGTAGATTCCATCTTAAGAAACCATTTTGTTCATTCACAAGAAGCAACTCCTCATCTACTTTAAGTTTTATAATGAG